CGGGGGCCCCGGGGACGGGCCTTTACCGCAGGGATGGAGTCCAGGGACAGGGCTTTACCTCAGGGATGACTCCAGCAGCCGCCCCGAGGCCCTGGGGATGGGCCTTTACCTCAGGGCAGGCCCCCACAGATGCCCCGAGGCCCCGGGGATGGGCCTTTACCTCAGGGATGGAGTCCAGGGACAGGCCTTTACCTCAGAGATGGCCCTTACAGGTGCTCCGAAGCCCCAGGGATGGGCCTTTACCTCAGGGATGGCCCCTACAGGTGCCCCGAGGCCCCAGGGATGGGCCTTTACCTCAGGGATGGGCCCCAACTGCTGCCCTGAGGCCCCAGGGATGGGCCTTTACCTCAGGGATGGCCCTGTGCTGCCTTTTCAGTCTCCTGCAGCTCCTGCTCTGGCACAGGCTCCCGTTGGTGCAGGCTGTGTCACTCACAGAGCAGGGATCTATTTATTTCCGTAAGAAAATCCCTTATTTACATGCCATTATATGTGACCTGTGGATTTTAGCTCCCATTCTCCCATCCCCAGGCCCAAGGGGCTCTGTGCAGGAATGGCACCTGTACTTTTATCCCTCCCAGCCCTGAGCTCGAGCAGCTTCTGCTCCCCCTCTGCCATCCCCTTTCAAAGCTTGGTCCTGGCTCTCTGTGCTCCTGCCTGCCTCCATCTTCCAACACACCTTGGAGCATGCCGATAGCCATGTGGCAGGTAGTTTTGAGAATTTTTCCCCTCTTAATTCTGCAGCCTTTCACCTTCCCCCAGCTCTGTTTTCTATTTTAAAGCCCAGTAACTGCATTTTGGCTCTCTTCTAGGTTATTACGACGCTCAAGCATGGAGCCATCTGTGTTTTTAGACAGCCCCTTGTCTGTGTTGTCAGGCACGGGGATCTCCCCCAGTTTTGGGTCAGGCTACCTGTGCGACCGCTGCCTGAGCTGCCGTCTTGAGCTTTCCCAGAGCTCTTTGGGCTTTGAATACACAAAGTTTTGTGCCTTTTTACGTGCTCTTTCCTCTGTTCTATTATTAATGCACATTAATTATTGCTCTTCTAGATCTTGATCTGTGTAAATCACTGCTAAAGATCCTTGTAAGTGTTTTCTTTTCTCTGCCTTGTGTGGGACCTGCTCATGTAAAGGTTGGAAGTGAGATGAAGGGCAGCCGAGCACGTGTTTGTGCCCAGGAGGCCAACAGAAATGGAAAACTTTTTTTTTTTTGGATCTTCAATTGGACTGGACCTGCCCTGACTATCAATAATACATGACCTGGGCTTTCTGCACTGAAACTCTGCTAATTGGCTAATTAAAAAGTGAAACGTGCAGAAGGAGCCAACGTGTCACTCACAAGAGACTCTTTCTGCAGCAACACCAAGGCTGAGCGTGTGCTAATGCGTTTTAGAAAACCGAGCTGGGGGTGAGCGAAGCTCTGGGCTAGTCTCAGGAGCCGAGAGGATGATTTCGTAACCAGCCTTCTCGCGGTTGGTCTTGCCTTGCCGCTGTATCTTCTTTTTTTAATCTCCCCCCCCCCCCTCCATTTCCCTCCTAAAAGGGAAGAATTGTGTGCAGTTCCTTGCAGCGCTGGGAGGTTTGTGGCTGGGGAGAGCTGCTGCAGGTTTTGACTCGTGTTTCTTCCCTGTGCTCGGTACTGTGCTGCTCTTTTCCTCCACATTAGCTTCCCCACGAGCAGCTTTTTCCAGAGGAAAGGGATTCTTCTTTCACTCATTTGTCACCCACCCCGCTTCCCACAGAGAGCACCCATGTCAGGAATGAAAAGCGAGGGGAGAAATCTGGGGGAAACCCCAAAGGTTTTCCTCCTGGGATGATCTTCTTGGACAGTCCTCTTTTCCAGGACGTGGCGTGCTCCCTCCAGGCTCCTGGAGCAGACCAAGGCTGTAACATGTGTTGTGGTCTTTTTTTTTTTTTTCCCCGCTCTCCACAGATCGTGGACACCTTCTTTATCGGCCGCTTCGTGCTCCTGGCCGTGATGAGCCTGGTCTTACTTGGGTGCCTGTTCCTGCTCCTGATTTACCACCTCATGGAGCCGGTGTACGCCAAACCGCTCCACGGCAGCTAGCGGCAGCCGGAGGCAGCAATCCCTGCGAAGAGAAAATCCTATTTTCGTGGCAATAAACCAGGAAGGGTGGCGACCGGGAGGCTGTTCTGGAGGTGAACACGTCGAGTTTTTCCGAGCTCAGAAAGAGCCGGCGAAGCAAGCGAAGTGTGTCGCTTGCACCCAGCGCTGCGTTTTTCATCTTTAAAAGCAAAGTTTGGACTGAACACGAGCGCCTTCCTCTCCACGGACTCTGCAGACTGCAAAGGTGCTTTAACCTCTCTCTTCTTTTTATCTTTTACAGCAGAGTTGAAATCCATGCACTTTGAACTACACTTGATTCAATGAATTGAACGGAGCCGAGACGGTTTGTTATTGGTACCCACAAGAGATGGTTTGTTATCGTTCCTTTTTCACCTTAGGTTAATAAAACTCTCTGAGAAACCCCTGACTCCGTCTTTGTTTATTCTCTTTTGCCACCCTCTGGTGACAGCGTGTCTGAAAACTGTCTTTTCCTCTGGCAGAGGTGGGGGCTTTTTTTTGTTTGTTTGTTTGTTTGTTTTGAAACTCGGTGTGTGGTTGTGGATCGTCCTTTGGCCGTTTACTCCTGTGTTGTCTCTGTAACTGGCACTGTTCAGCCTTCCTGCAGCATTCCCAGGAAGGAGCTGAATGATCTGGCTTCATTTGATGGGGGATTTGAAACAGGGGAGTAATCCCCGTTCCCTAAAATCAGAGGATCAAGAGGAGGGGTTTTTTTTCCAGGCTGACTGGAAACCTGAGGCTTTGGAGTGGGGAGGGAGCAACGTGCAAAATAACGTCGAAATGGGCAACTGAAAATCTCCCCTCCGCAAGGATGCGGAGGAAAGCCAGGTCTTGCCTCCCTGCGCTAAAAAATCCTGCCAGCCCATGAAAAAAACTCTTGCTTTTCCAGACCTGAGTGTCTCCCACGCGTGTCGGGACCACACGTTGTCATCCTGGGGCGGGGAGCCGAAAGCTCATGGTTTCCCCTACCCTAAAATATAAAACCGTTGCTGACACTAGTGCAGACCACTGGCTGAAGCCGGTAGTCGACTCCCATACCTTTCCTCTTGGGGGGGGAAAAACACTTTTTACGTTGTTCAGCAGCAGCGATGGGGTGAAATCCCATTTATCTCCCTATTTCTTTCATGGAAACGAAGGGGAAGGGCCCCACTGAAGCAGAGCGGGGAGGCTGGGCTGAGCTGTCAGCCGGCAGATACCTCCGTCTCCTGCCCGTGCTGCAAATCGATCTGTTGATAGCAGCGGCTCGCACAGGCTGGATGTCTGTACTTAACTAGCAATAATTACTGCTTCGCCCTGTCTTAGCCATCCCTCAATAG